CCCAGGCCCAGAGTTCAAGCCCCATGACCGACAAAAAAAAAGAAAGATGAAAATCTGAGGTGGAGAAGGCAGCTGACCTCAGGCCAGGCAGCAGTTTTGTGTCTGTTGACTGAGCCTGCCCTCCCATGGCTGTTTTCTAAACACTTCAGAGAACTGATTAAAAGGCATGCTTGAACTTAAAATTTAGAGCATGCTATTGATTACTGTTTAAAGGACTTTCAAAGTTGGTTTATTTGAGAGATTGTTTAAGAATGTATAAGAAAGAGTGTAGGAGCTGTGGAGTTAAGTGAAGGCTAGTCTCCAGGGCTGGAGCCAGGCTAGGATGCAAAGCTTGTGTGTCTCCTTGCTCTGTTCATCAACCGTGCCACGTCTGCGCTGCAGCTCTCCTGATGTTTGTTGTCTCATAGATGGCCATTTCTCCTTCTCGGATGCCTCAGCCTCCGAACATGATGAGCGCACATGCCAACAACATGATGGCCCAGCCACCCACTCAGAACCAGTTTCTGCCACAGAGCCAGTTCCCATCATCCAGTGGGGCAATGAGTGTGAACAGTGTAAATATGGGGCAGCCAGGGGCCCAAGCAGGAGTGTCACAGGTACGTTCACGTTGGGACCAGGGACAGCATTTGTGTGGCCTGTTAACCTAAATGTATCAGCATTTCTTTGTCTTTCCCTGCTTTGTTCTGTAACTATTAACTTGTTTAGAATTCTCTCTGGGGGAACTTCATGCAAAGATAATGTGTGTGTGCGTGTGCGCCTGTGCACCTGCCAGTACTAGCGTTTGTACTCGGAGCCTCACATTGTCCATTTGCTTTTTCACGCAAGGAATGATGTTCTGCCATTTGAGCCATACTTCCACTTCCAGCTTTCTGCTTGTTAATTGGAGATAATCTCAGGGTTTATCTGCCCAGGCAGGCTCCAAACCACGATTCTCAAATTTCAACCTCCTGAATAGCTAGGGTTATAGGGGTACTGGTGCACGGCTAGCTTGTGAAGTTTTATAACTTGCACAACCCCATGAGATGAGCAGATCTCATTGAGGAACTGTGATTTGATTTTAATAAATTCTTCAAGTATCTTGTCACATGTTTAGTTTGGGGAGATAGTTTTAATATACTTCATTTCTTTTAGGGTCAAGTGGCTGGTGCTGCTCTTCCTAATCCTCTGAACATGCTGGGGCCCCAGACCAGCCAGCTGCCTTGCCCACCAGTGACGCAGTCACCCTTGCATCCGACACCACCTCCTGCTTCCACAGCTGCTGGCATGCCCGCTCTCCAGCACCCGACCCCACCTGGGATGACACCTCCCCAGCCAGCAGCTCCTGCTCAGCCATCTCCTCCTGTATCGTCTTCTGGGCAGACTCCCACCCCAACTCCTGGCTCAGTGCCCAGTGCTGCCCAAACCCAGAGCACCCCTACAGTCCAGGCAGCAGTGCAGGCCCAGGTGACCCCACAACCTCAAACCCCAGTTCAGCCCCCGTCTGTAGCTACCCCTCAGTCATCCCAGCAGCCGACGCCTGCGCATGCCCAGCCCCCTGGCACACCGGTGAGCCTCTGTGTTTGTCTTCAGACCAAAACTATCTGTATTCTTTTCTTTCTTTCCTTTTTTTTTTTTTTTTTTTTGCCAGTTCTGGGGCTTGAACTCAAGGTACTGTCCCTGAGCTTCTTTTGCTCAAGGCTAGCACTCTACCACTTAAGTCCCAGAACCACTTCTGGCCTTTTCTGTCTATGTGGTACTGAGGATTCAAACCCAGGACTTCATGCATGCTAGGCAAGCACTCTACCACTGAGCCACATTTCCAGCCCCAAGTGTCTGTAATTTTGATGGAATTGCACTGAGTTGTGCTGTACTTTTAGCATTGTCCCCAAGGCTGTGTAGGACATGACTTAACGATGAGAAGAGTTTACAGAAGTCGGTATTTATCATGTGGTATATTACACAAGACGTTGTGTTCACCATTATCTATCCTAGACTAATGTATCGGGGGTTTTAATAGATCATGTTCTGTTTTATTGCTGATGTTTTTTGAGTCTGATAAGCATGCTGTACTCCTAACTGTATGTTGCCCTTTAACCTGGCTGATCAGCCTTCCTCTTTTTATTTTTCCTCTTGTTCCCTTGTATGAGTTACACAAGTAAGAACTTGTCTCATTTCTACATGTTTACAGTATATTCCAGTTAGTGTTAGCCCTCTATCACTCTCCTTCCCCCTCTCCATCCAGCCTTTCCAAACTACAGAAGGCTTTTCTGTTTGGTAATGAAACAACAGAGCTAGGTTTGTACCTTTGTGGCTCAGACTTCCCGTTCTTGGCTGGAAGTGGTGATGGCGGGATCATACCTTCAAGCCTCCTGCTCCATGCCAGCTGGAGATAAACAGATGTTGTCTGGGCTGAGTTGTGTTTACTGATGCAGGGTCTTACACTATACCCAGGCTGCCCATATTCTTTTCCCAAGTTTTTGCTGAGATCATAGTATCATTTTCTGTGGTAGTTCTGGATTTAGAACTAAGGACCTCATACCTCTACCACTTGAACTATGCTTCTAGTCCTTTTTTATTTTTTTGTCAGTCATGGGCTTGAACTCTGGGCCTGGGTGCTTTTCCTCAGCTCTTCAGCTCAAGGCTAGCACTCTACAACAGCACCACTTCTGGTTTTCTGGTGGTTTATTGGAGATAAGAGTCTCATGGACTTTCCTGCCTGGGCTGGCTTTGAACCACGATTCTCAGATCTCAGCCTCCTGAGTAGCTAGGATGACAGGCGTGAGCCACCAGCGCCCATGCTTCTGGTCCTTTTTACTTGGATTATTTTTGACAGAGGTTCTCACTGTTTGCCTGGGCCCAGCCCAGACTGTGTTATCTTCCTAATTAAGCTCCTGGCCATAGCTAAAAAAAAATGGTGCTCACCATCATGCCTAGCTTTACCCTGCACTCCCTCAAGTAACTATGATTATAAGTGTAAACTGCCTTACCCATCTACTATCATTTTCTTATAAGACTGTCTTAGACCTCTCTACTCTCATAATTATATTAACTTTATTTGTAGGTACTGAGCATATTCAAAGTGAATCCCAATATTATTTCTACTTACCTGTAAAGATATGTATGTAGATAGATATAGATAGTTTCTTTTTTTTAGTTGTTTTGTTTTTGTTATCTTTGACTTCATTATGGTTCTGAGAGTATGGCTGAAATGGTAGTGTTCAATCCCTTGTACTTCATGCAGGTTGAACAAAAAGTCGGGGAGCAGTTCCTTGTAAGACTTTGAGGGGCTAGGAAGGTGGCTCCGTGGTAGAGTGCTTGCCTTGCATGCATGAGGCCCTGGGTTCCATTCCTCAGCACCACATACACAGAAAAAGCCAGAAATGGTGCTCTGGCTCAAGTTGTAGAGCACTAGCCTTGAGCTGAAGAGCTCAGGGACAGTGCCCAGGCCCAGAGTTGAAGCCCCATGACTGACCACCCCCCCTCAAAAAAAAAAAAAAAGACTTGCAAAATGTGGAATATTTTTAGTGGTTTCTTTAGTATAGCACCATCACTATCCTCTGCTAACACAAGCCCATTAGACATTCTTCCTACACAGACAGCTGGCTCCCTCCCCACATAAGTACCTGGACGTTTATAATCCAGTGTCTTGTTATAAACATTATAAGCCTTTTTGAAGGGAATTAATGATAAAATAGTTTAGCTAGATACCTTGGGAGGAAATGGTTTTATATCATAATTTAGAAAGGTCTGTTTTCCTATCTCTGCATTTGTGGCAAAGAGTAAATTGTGTTTCTGATTGATGATGACTTTCTCTAGAGCTCCCTCCTTGTAACTGTGTCCTTCAGTGTTCTCAATAGGGGCTTGTTAGGATAGCACTGAGGAAAGTTAACCAGAAGTTGAAGATGGGATAAGCAAAGGGTCGAAGGCCATTTGTATTGTCTGATTTACAAAGAGGTTTATTTTAATGTTTTCACAGCTTTCTCAAGCAGCAGCCAGCATTGATAACAGGGTCCCCAGTCCCCCTTCAGTGACCAGTGCTGAAACCAATTCCCAGCAGCCGGGACCTGATGTACCAGTACTGGAAATGAAGGCAGAGGTCAAGACTGAAGACACGGAGCCCGAGCCTGGTGAATCTAAGGGGGAGTCTCGACCTGAGGTAGGTGTTATTCTCTAGCAGTAAATACATTGCTATGTATGGAATCTTTACCTACAGGTCCTCAAACCTTTCATGGTTGTCCCTGGATTTGTTGTAATTGTCTATTTCAGTGTGAGTTCAAAAATACATTGACTATTCTTTTTGTTGTGGTTGTTGTTCTTTTTTTTTTTTTTTTTTTTAACCAGGGCTGAGAACCGAACCCAGGGCCTTGAGTGCGCCAGGCGGGTGCCCTTCCACTGGGCTAAACTCCCAGCCCCTGGTTGTTGTTCTTACCAGTACTGGGGCTTGAACTCAGGGCTTTGTGCTCTTGCTTGTTTGTTTTTTTTTTCATTCAAGGCTGGTGCTTTACCACTTGAGCTACACCTCCACTTCCAGCTGTTCATTGTAGATGTTTGAATTATTCTACAATCTTTTCTTGGTGGCCTCCATTCATTTCTAATTCTACAGAAAGGGTGGTAGCCAGGTGCTGGTAGCTCACGCCTGTAATCCTAGCTACTCAGGAGGCTGAGACCTGAGGATCACGATTCAAAGCCAGCCCGGGCAGAAGAGACCGTGAGACTCCTATCTCCAATAAACCACCAGAAAACCGGAAGTGGCGCTGTAGCTCAAGTGGTAGAGCGCTCGCCTTGAGCTGAAGAGCTGAGGGACAGCGCCCAGGCCCAGAGTTCAAGCCCCATGACCAAAAGGAAAGAAAAAAAGAAAGAGTGATGGATTCATTTGCTAATTAACCTCTGGCAGAAGCTGAACATTGGCAAACTGTGAGCTGCTGCATCCAGCCTGGATATGTTTGGCCTCCACAATAGTCTAAAAACCATGAGATTTCAAATTAAACTAGGTGTTTGACTTTTATGGAAACTGAGCAGCTTTGTCAGCCTTGTGCTTATGAACCAGTGTGGGGACGTCTGCGTTAGCCAAAGTCGTCACTACTTGTGTTTATACCACACCTGCCTCTGAAGAGGGACTTTTGATCCTTGCTTTAAATTTCAAAAATATTCTTATTGTAAGCTAGCAATATCTATATGTGACTATAATGCACATGTAAAATATTTGGACATTTTAAATTAGGTCTGTAATTGCCTTGGTGCTGTGTTGAAGTGACTCAATGGACAACAAGTAATTGATTCCATTCTCTGGAAGAGAAAAGAAATGATAAATAACCCAACTGGGGGAAGGCATATCAAGTCCATACGGATTTAGGAGCCTAGAAAAGCTAATTTAGGTACAGATCTTTGTGATACTCATCTGTCATTTGTGATTCTCAAGATGATGGAGGAGGATTTACAAGGATCTTCCCAAGTTAAAGAAGAAGCAGACAATGCAGAGAAGAAATCAGAACCAATGGAAGTGGAGGAGAAGAAGCCTGAAGTAAAAGTGGAAGCTAAAGAAGAAGAGGAGAATAGCACTAACGGCGCAGCCTCTCAGTCAACATCCCCGTCCCAGCCACGCAAAAAAAGTAGGTGGTGTTTTCTGTAACTTACAACTGTATTGCACCTCCACACCAAAGACTGAAAGTCAAAACTGATTCTACTTCCCTTTTTTATCTTTCTTGCCTCCATTCTCCTAGAGTTGAAAATGGCTCTCTGGAATCCCTGAGCAAACTATAGAGTGTGGGCTTCTTTTCCATGTGTTAACATTTACACCCTGTGATGTCAAAAAAGCCCTCCATATTCCTTAATATCACCCTCAGCCTCTTCAAACAAGCAGGTTTTTTTGTTTTGTTTTGTTTTTTTGGGGGGGTCCGGTTGTGGGGCCTGAACTCTGGGCCTGGGCACTGTCCCTCAGCTCTTCAGCTCAAGGCTAGCGCTCTACCACTTGAGCCACAGCACCACTTCTGGCTTTTTTTTCTTTTTGCTTGTATGGTGCTGAGGAATCGAACCCAGGGCCTCGGGCACACAAGGCAAGCGCTCTACCACTGAGCCACCTTCCCAGCCCAAACAGTATTTTTGAGAAATACTGAGATTGTGTAGCAGATGCAGGTTTACTTTTCCTTGTCTATTTCCTTTTTGAGGAAACACCTGCATACCCCATAACTGAATCATCAGAGCTGTGTATCTGTTGCTCTTGCACATTTTGCAGGTCCTTCAGCGGTTAGCCCTAGTGCTGGCACAAGTATCAGCTCGAAGCCAGCTTGTGCACAGCACCAGTGCACATACGTTTTCCCATTACAGAGTGAGAGGTACTTGTCAGAGGTTGAGATTTTCTGATGCTCTCTGAACCATACACACTTGGAGAACTGTATCTTTGGTTCCCCAGCCTTGATGTGATGCAGTTGTTTTGCTTTGTTGAGTTTTGCTTGAACTCAGGGCCTCCTCCTCAATCTTTTTTTTTTTTTTTTTTTTTGGGTCCGGTCGTGGGGCCTGAACTGTGGGCCTGGGCGCTGTCCCTCAGCTCTTCAGCTCAAGGCTATCGCTCTACCACTTAAGCCACAGCGCCACTTCCGGCTTTTTTCTTTTTGCTTATGTGGTGCTGGGGAATCGAACCCAGGGCCTCATGCATGCAAGGCAAGTGCTCTACCACTGAGCCACCTTCCCAGCCCCTCTTCCTCAATCTTGACTTTTTCACTCAAGGATGACACTGCCAGTTCAGCCATACTTCCATTCCCATATTTTTGCTGATTAATTGGAAATAAAAGTCACACAGTTCAACATCTTAATAATAACAACAAAAATTATTTTTTAAAAAGTCTCACAGTTTTGTCTGCCCAGGCTGGCCTTGAACCTCAATCCTTAGATCTCAGCCTCTGAATAGCTAGGATTCCAGGTATGAGCTATCAGCACCCAACCTGAATGCAGTTTTTAAAACCATTACACTGTGAGCTGGTAGTTCAAGCCTGTAATCCTTGCTATTCAGAAGGATGAGATATGAGAACTGTGGTTAGAAGCCAGAAAGTCCAACAGATTCTATTTCTTTCTCTCTTTAGGGGGTTGGTCATAGGGCTTGAACTCTGCTCCTGGGCGCTGTCCCTCAGCTCTTCATTCAGTTCAAGGCAAGCTCTATCACTTGAGCCACTGCGCCACTTCCGGTTTTCTGGTGGTTTATTGGAGATAAGAGTCTCTTGTACTTTCCTGCCCAGGCTGGCTTTGAACCACGATCCTCAGATCTCAGCCTCCTGAGTAGCTAGGATTACTGGCATGAGTCACCAATGTCTGGCCCACAAATTCTTTCCTCCAATAAAATACTCAGAAAAGGCCAGAAGGGGTGCTGTGGCTCAAGTGGTAGAGCACTAGCCTTGAGCAAAAGAAGATCAGGGACAGCACCTAGGCCCAGAGTTCATACCCCAGGACCAACAACAACAACAACAAAAACCCATTACTATATTTTCAGAATCCCTGAATAACACTTTAGATTCTAATGAGTGAGAGCTGCCTGGGAGCTTTGGAATAGTTCTGAATGGACTACTTGGCCTTTTTTTATTTACATTTAAATTGCTTATTTATTTGTTTGTGGCTTATTTACTTGTTTATGCTAGAGTTTGATCGTAGGATTTAGGACTTGCTAGGCCTGTTCTCTTCTCTGCAGTCACACCTCCAGCCCCTTTGCCCTTACTTTTGAGTTAAGTGAACTAAACCTAGACTATTACCCTCCTTTTCTTCCCACCTTAGCTGGCTTGTTAGGCACTTGCTGCCATTTCCAGCTTTCTCTGTTTAGGTGGAATCTCTTGAATTTTCCCCCACCCCTTGGAGCTGCAGTCAGTCCTCCTATCTGTTTTCTGAGTAGCTGGGATTAGAGATGAGAGCCACCACCCTCAACCCATGCTTCCATTTTAAATGTGATACTGTAAAGATTTGAGCACTTATTACCTAATAATATCTTTTTCTGTTTGTTGTTGTTGTTGTTTTCTGCAGTTTTTAAACCTGAGGAGCTACGCCAAGCACTTATGCCAACCCTAGAAGCGCTCTATCGACAGGACCCAGAGTCCCTACCTTTTCGGCAGCCTGTAGATCCCCAGCTCCTAGGAATTCCAGTAAGTTAATATAATAGAAATTTGGTATAGTTTTGAGCATCCATTGTTTTATCTTTAAAAACTGGCTAAAATAATCTTGATTTGAAGATTTTTCTCCTAATATAAAAACTATAGCCAGGTGCTGGTAGCTCATGCCTGTAATCCTAGTTACTCAGGAGGCAGAGATCTGAGGATCACAGTTGGAAGCCAGCCCAGCCAGAAAAGTCTGTGAGACTCTTATCTCTAACTAACAAGCAAAAATCTTTAATTAACAAGCAAAAAACATAGATGGAGCTATGGCTCAAGTGCAGCACCCTCCCCTCTAGTCCATAACTCTCAGGTCTTTACATTTGGGATCTTGAGTAAGGCAAAGAATTGTGAGATTTAGCTGAGCTAGGTGGCTCTCATCTTAAGAGGATGAGATGTGAGGCTTGTGGTTGGAGACCAGCCCAGGCAAGAAAATCCATGACACTAATCTCAAAAAGCTGGAAGTGGAGCTGAAGAACCTTGAGTTAAAACTTAAAAGAGGCTGGGTGCTGGTGGCTCACGCCTGTATCCTAGCTACTCAGTAGGCTGAGATCTGAGGATCACGGTTCAAGGCCTGCCTAGGCAGGAAAGTCTGTGAGGCTCTTACCTCTAATAAACCACCAGAAAACCGGAAGTGGCGCTGTGGCTCAAACAGTAGAGGGCTCGCCTTGAGCTGAAGAGCTGAGTGAAAGCACCTAGGCCCAGAGTTCAAGCCGCACGACCTACCAAAAAAAACTTAAAAGAGTATCCAGGCCCTAAGTTCAAGCCTCAGTTCCATACCGAAAATAATGCACTCCCCCACATCCAAAAAAAAAAGGCCATGGTGCTGGGAAGGTGGCTTAGTGGTAGTGTTTGCCTGCAGTGCATGAGGGCCTTGGGTTTGATTCCTCAAAGCCGGAAGTGGCGCTGTGGCTCAAGTGGTAGAGTGCTAGCCTTGAGCTGAAGAGCTGAGGGACAGCGCCCAGGCCCAGAGTTCAGGCCCCACAACAGCTCCGGAGGCTGAAATCTGAGGATTATGGTTCATAGTCATCCAGGGCAGGAAAGTTGATGAGACTCTTATCTCCAATTGATCCCTGAAATGCTGGAAATAGAGGAGTGGCTCAATGGTAGAGCGCTAGCCTTGAGGGAAAAAGCTCAGATACAGCACCTAGACCCTGACTTCATGCCCCCCAGTACAGTACCAAATACAGCACCTAGACCCTGACTTCATGCCCCCCAGTACAGTACCAAATACAGCACCTAGACCCTGACTTCATGCCCCCCAGTACAGTACCAAATACAGCACCTAGACCCTGACTTCATGCCCCCCAGTACCGGTACCAAATACAGCACCTAGACCCTGACTTCATGCCCCCCAGTACTGGTACCAAAAGGAAAAAAAAGTCCAGAAATTTAATTATGAGATGCTTGTAAATTTCTGTTTACAAAGCTAGGAAATCTTGAAAAACAAGATAGATCCCATAGGTTCTACTGATCAGTAGTATTCCTTAGCTTTGTTTTTGTGCTGGGAACCAAGCCTCAGAAAAATGCTCTAAGTTGAGCTAAAGTTTTCACAACTATGTGTTAATCTTTGAATTGCATTTATTAGCCAGGCATTGTTTACTCACACCTGTAATCCTAGCTACTCTGGAGGCTGAGATCTAAGGATGAGGGTTCAAAGGCAGCCTGATAGGAAAGTATGTGAGACACTTTATCTTCAATAAACTGCTCAGAAAAAGCCAGAAGTGGTCAGGTGGTAAGAGTTCTAACCTTAAGCAAAAGCAGCTCAAGGATAATAGCATCCAGGCCCTGAAAGCCCCAGAACTGGCAATAAATAAATAAATAGCATTTATTTTGTTTGGACCAAAGTGAATCTGTGGAAATACATGCTGATTTATTTTAAATCAAGGAATTAAAATATTCATTAATTTTTTTGTGGGGGGGGGTCTGGTCATGGGGCCTGAACTCTGGGCCTGGGCGCTGTCCCTCAGCTCTTCAGCTCAAGGCTAGCTCTACCACTTGAGCTACAGCGCCACTTCTGGCTTTTTGCTTTTTGCTTATGTGGTGCTGAGGGATCGAACCCAGGGCCTCATGCATACAAGGCAAGCGCTCTACCACTGAGCCACCTTCCCAGCCCATATTCATTTAATTTTTGTATTAAAATGTTTTTTTTGTTTTGTTTTGTTTTGTTTTTGGATCCGGTTGTGGGGCCTGAACTCTGGGCCTGGGCACTGTCCCTCAGCGCTTCATCTCAAAGCTAATGCTCTACCGCTTGAGCCACAGTGCCGCTTCCAGCTTTTTTCTTTTTGCTTATATGGTGCTGAGGAATCGAACCCAGGGCCTCATGCATGCAAGTCAAGCGCTCTACCACTGAGCCACCTTCCCAGCCCTAAAATGTTTTTATTAAACCTTTATTTATTTTTTAATTTTTGCCGGTCCTGGGACTTGAACTCAGAACCTGGGCGCTATCCCTGAGCTGCTTTTGCTCACGGCTAGTGCTCTACCACTTGAGCCACAGCACCATTTATGGCTTTTTCTGTGTATGTGGTGCTGAGGAATCAAACCCAGGGCTTCATGCATACTAGGCAGGCACTCCACCACTAAGCCACATTCCCAGCCTAAAATAAACAATTTTTTTAACTTTGTCTTAACTTTGTCTTTGAAGTACTTTAATCATACTTGAGCATATCAGTTGCCATTTTTAATATGTCAAATCAGAGGAATGTTACATGTTACTTTTTTCAATTCCAATTTTTACTATTAAGAATGAAAATTGTTGAGGTACTTTCTATTTTCGTTATGTTTTTTAAGATAAAGTATTAGAGAAGGCTGGCATTTGAAATACAATGGCTCCACTAGAACAAAGGTAGGGTTATGCATATAAGGTCCATGAAGTCATTTGATACAGGATGCGATAGATGACTAGGTTCAGTATGCTTTTCAGCTGCCTGCAGCCCCTCTGCCTATGTTGACAATTTTGTGTAATCCGCAGACAATGTTAGAAATATCCAAATGACTCTTAGCAGAGAAAAGCTTCCCCACCCTTGCACTAGACTGAGATTGTTTTGTTTTTAAGGATTATTTTGACATTGTGAAGAACCCCATGGACCTTTCTACCATCAAACGGAAGCTGGATACAGGGCAGTACCAAGAGCCCTGGCAGTATGTGGATGATGTCTGGTTAATGTTCAACAATGCCTGGCTATATAATCGTAAGACGTCCCGGGTCTATAAGTTTTGCAGTAAACTTGCAGAGGTCTTTGAGCAAGAAATTGACCCTGTCATGCAGTCCCTTGGATATTGCTGTGGACGCAAGGTACAGTTTTCATTTCTTCTGGAAATTGAAATTTCCTGATTAATCTACTCAAGAGAATGTTAAGCTAAGATGGGATACTTCATATTCTGACCACAGGAGTATGTGTGGAAAGTCTCAGGTGCTGTTTTGGGCTCTTGTGACATAGTGGATTATCTCAAGCAATCTCATGATCAAAGCTATAGGTGCTTACTGGGCTGGCCTGGAGTTAAGCCTTTCTGGCTGCCACTGGCCCATTTTGTGTCTCTGTACCTCTTGTCACTTAGAGGCAAAGCTACACTAATTTGTCACATTTAATCCAAAACTGTCTTGAAATAGTTATGAAGAAAATTACATAATAAACTAGCAAATAATTTACTAGCTGAATTTTCACTCTTGTAGTGAACTAGAACATTTCAGGATAGCAAGTGGAATATGTTTTTTTCTCCTTTGTTTTTGCAGTATGAATTTTCCCCGCAGACTTTGTGCTGCTATGGGAAGCAGCTGTGTACAATTCCTCGAGATGCAGCCTACTACAGCTATCAGAATAGGTAAGCATCAAGCAATTTTTTGCACTAAGAGGTTCAAGGAAGAGGTTAGATTAAGATATAGATACACCTGTAATTATAGACTGAGAACATTATTTATTTGTTAAAGTTGCAATGAAAAGTGCCACAGTGTTGGTCCTTCTTGGTCAGTCAGATACTTTTATAGTGTAAAATTTTAATCTCAGAACCACTTGCTGCACTGTTAGATTAGGTTTACTCATTCCTAAACCACAGTCTTTCTAAAATAGAACTCTGTGAGCTATCCCAAGCCAGGCAACTAGTGGCTCACGCCTGTAATCCTAGCTACTCAGGAGGCTGAGATCTGAGGATCATAGTCCAAAGCCAGCCCAAGCAGCAAAGTGTGTGACACTCTTATCTCTAATTAAGCATCAGAAAACCATAAGTGGAGCTGTGTGATAGAGTGCTAGCCTTGGGCAAAAGAGCTCAGGAACAGTGCTCAAGTTCAAAGCCCCCGTGACTGACTTGGGGGGGGAGGGGGCGGGAAGATAATAACTCTCCTGAAGGATGAACAAATGCAGGCAGGGTACTTAGTAGACACTATGTGGAAAAGGAGCTATTCAACTTGTGGGCAGGGATAGGAAAGGAAAACCTGGCAGAAGGGTGACATGTCCCAAAAAGAAATATACTCATAACTGAGGATCACAGTTCAAAGCCAGCCCAGGCAGGAAAGTCTGTGAGACTCTTATCTCTAATTGACGAACAGAAAACTGGAAGTGGCACTGTGGTTCAAGTGGTACAGCACTCACCTTGAACTGAAGAGCTCAGGGGACAGAACCCAGGCCCTAAATTCAAGCCCTATGACCGACAAAAAAAAAAGAAATGTAGTCATTACCTGATGTATGAAATGGTAACCCCCTCTGTATAATAACTTAATAATAGCAATAAAATCAGTTAAAATACATATAAAAACAGCAATTTTTCAAAGCTGAAAAAAAAGAATAACCCTTCTATTGATTCATGCCTATAATCTAAATATTTAGGAGGATTATGAATATGAGGCCAACCTAGGGTACATAGTAAGACCTCCTCCCTCACCCCCCCAAAAAAAAAATATGTTTAAGATGGTTATTTCAGGATTTTGAGAATAGTAGGCCTGCTTGAAAAACAGTTCTCATCTTTTTGGAATGTGAGGGTGACTAGAGAATAGAATAGATCTTCCTGTCTTAGGTGAGTGAAAGTTGAATTTGTTCTTGTCTGTTCCCTATATATGTAATAATAATATATAAAAACTACATTTTTATAGTTTTGGGATTATTTTGAAAATTAAAGTCATTTGTATCCATTGTGCTATGATCACACCTTACCATAGCACGAGGGCTTCATGCCCTGAAGTCCAGGCAATGAATTTGAATTCAATAGCATCAAATCTATTTTGTGAACTGGCAGCTGGAATCTTTATGTGAAAAAGAGGGGGGGTTGCATCTGTTCTTTGTCTTAAGCTACAAATATTAAATATCACTAGCAAGGTTGGTTTGATGGCTTGGCTGTTTTGCTCTTGTTTGGGCCATAAGTGCATATACCTAATAGTTCAGAGTCACAGTAAGTGTATATATCTAATAGTTCGGAGTCACATTAGTGCATATACATATGGTCCAGAATCACAGTAAGTGCATATACCCTAATAGTTCAGAGTCATAGTAGGTGCATATATCCTAATAGTTTAGAAAATAAGAGCGTTTGTTATTCACTCAAATGTATATACATAGGCCTTACAAGTTTGGAGTTGTGAGATTATTTTTCCTCCAATTTTTAAATTCTTGTAATCTTTAAAGAAAATCTTTGTTGATAATTACTCCCAAAAATATCTTATTAAGAAAAGAGCCGGACGACGGTGGCTCACGCCTGTAATCCTAGCTACTCAGGAGGCTGAGATCTGAGGATCACGGTTCAAAGCCAGCCCAGGCAAGGAAAGTCCGTGAAACTCTCACCTCCAATAAACCACCAGAAAACCAGAAGTGGTGCTGTGGCTCCAGTGGTAGAGTGCTAGGCTCGAGCTGAAGAGCTGAGGGATAGTGCCCAAGCCCAGAGTTCAAGCCCCACAACCGACCAAAAAAAAGAAAAGAAACTGTAGACACAAAAATGTTTCCAGAAAATATGATAAAGCCTTGGTCCTCTAGTTTCCAGGACAGTTCAGAGGCATCTCTACTGGTATAGCCTTCCCGACCTTGATGAAAACAAGCAGTTAAATTTCTGTTTGAACATCCCCTTTTTCAAAACAAGTGGGCTGTTTGGTTTTCTTTTTTTTTGGCCAGTCCTGGGGCTTGAACTCAGGTTCTAGACACTGTCCCTGAGCTTCTTTTGCTCAACGCTAGCACTCCATCACTTGAGCCACAGCTCCACTCCAGCTTTTCCTGTCTTTTGGTATGAGGAATCGAACCCAGGGCTTCATGAATGGTAGGCAAGCACTCTACCACTGAGCCACCTTCCTAGCCCCAAGTGGATTTTTTTGTTTGTTTCTTTCTTTCTTTTGTCCTTTCTTTTTTGGTACCAAGGACCAAACCCAAGATTTCGCACTTGCTAGGCAAGTGCTTTGCCACTGTTAACATCCTAACCCATCCTGACAAAGTTTAAAATTATATTCCCTTCACAATGGGATCCCTCCCATAACAAGTGTAGGTGACAGCGGCACATTACCAGAAGTTCTGGGCCCACCTTTTATGGTTTTTTATCCCTGTGACTTTCAGCATATCCCATAGTGAATCAAAGTTAATCTTACCCAGATTAACAACAGCCTCTTCCCTGATAGCCTCAGATTGTTGTGCAGTGTCCGCTGGAATAACCATATATATTTTGAAGACCATTATGTAATGTATAAAACCATAGTATTTGCTGCCTCTACTACTGTGTTACCCAGCACAGGTTTTGTTGTTGTTTTTTTGTTTTTTTGTGTCCGGTCGTGGGGCCTGAACTCTGGGTCTGGGCGCTGTCCCTCAGCTCTTCAGCTCAAGGCTAGTGCTCTGCCACTTGAGCCACAGTGCCACTTCTGGCTTTTTGCTTTTTGCTTATGTGGTGCTGAGGAATCGAACCCAGGGCTTCATGCATGCAAGGCAAGTGCTCTGCCACTGAGCCACCTTCCCAGCCCCATGAGCCAGCCCCCCCAGCACAGTTTTGTTTTTTTGGTTTTTGGGGGTTTTTTTGGGTCCAGTCGTGGGACCTGAACTCTGGGCCTGGGTGCTGTCCCTTAGCTCTTCAGCTCAAGGCTAGCGCTCTACCACTTGAGCCACAGCGCCACTTCTGGCTTTTTTCTTTTTGTTTATGTGGTGCTGAGGAATTGAACCCAGGGCCTCATGCATGCAAGGCAAGCACTCTACCACTGAGCCACCTTCCCAGCCCCTCCAGCACAGTTTTGATCCACACAAAACAACAGAATATTTACACTGTCTCTATTAAATATTTGTGGCCATTCACTGTTGATCTCACAATTCCTGGGTCTTTGGAATCCTGCCTTTGCTGATTTGTATAGATCTGGGCTGTGTACATTCACAGCAATTAAAACTAAATAGAATTGATAGGATAAAGGCGCATTACTGCCATTTCAGAGGAAGTCATCAATTGAGTGCAAACACTGAACGTCTTTACAGTTCTGAAATGTGCAATTTTATTATGTAGAACTTTTTACTAAACCCGAGGAATATGTTTTTCTTGAGTGAAAAGGAAAATGGAGTTGTAACCTATAAAGGATACTTTTCACAAAATTCAGCATACCTTTGAGTTCTCTAGAATGCTGTACTTGAGTAAATCAACATAATGTAATTCAAAGAAAACAGTGGCCCAATTTTGTGTGAACATGATAATTGCTTAAAGTTTTATTTTCAATTTTGGCTATACACACTCTGGTATTCTTATGAATAGTTTTTTTTTTAACTATTTGGGCACTTAAAACATTAGAAAATTCTACAGACTATTTCAACAAGTGAAATTTTAAAGTATAAAGTGGTGTGTAGTGTTACATATTCACTTGTTTCCAATCTGAAAAGTTTGAAGTAACTGCATCTTTTCTAACAGGGATTATCTGTAGATACCCCAGTTGTTTATGTAAGCTGGTACAGTAATGAAAACAATCTGCATTTGAAAACTTTATCTACTAAATTACTCCTACAGATAATCTGTATAGTAATGTAGAACTAGCTTGAGCAATTCAGATGCACATTATCATCAGATAATGTGAAGTACTTATTTGCAATTCCATATTCATCAAATAAGGCAGAATGTCATCTAGGTTCTTATAGCTGAAAAGTGAATTTCTAAGCTTTCTAGGGAGAACCAAGGTAATAGTTCGTTGCAGTAAGGTCCTTTACCCATGGTTAGAGTTTTGATCATAAATGGTACCACCTTCATCTATACTGCCTTCATTTGAGAGATGATGAAATGAGGCCTTGGGCCATGTCCTTTCCTCCTCTTAATAAACAGGCTGGATTCTCTAGTTTTTCTGGCAGTGCTTTGGACATGTAATTTTTTTTTTTTTTTGCGAGCGCTCTACCACTTGAGCTACAGCGCCACTTCCTCTGGCAGTGCTTAGGGACAAACGCTAAAGTCTGTGCATATTCTACCACTTGAGCTACAGCGCCACTTCCTCTGGCAGTGCTTAGGGACAAACGCTAAAGTCTATGCACATTCTACCCCTCCCACTTTTTGACCCAGGGATTTCCAGGGGAGAGTTGGTCACGAGTGAAGCTGCCTTTTAGGCCATCAATGCTTTGTTCTATATTGTTTTCCTCTATTGGAAAATGATGTTCGTGATTCTAACTTTTCAAATGTTCAGATGCCTTGTGTGAATAAAAGCAAAACATCTGCCCAGCATTTTAAAACCATTTAGACTCACTTTTGATTGTGATGGTAATATAATTTCAGATTGTGGCCAGCAGTCCTTTTCTTGCTGACCTACAGTGCTGAATTTGGCTGTATAATTGATAAAGTAGCTCTCAGTTCTGAGCTTTCTTTTTAAAAGGGAAATATTTGTCTTTGAGAGAATGTCTATTTTTTGCATGCTGTTCTGGTTGCTACTGAGTTATTTTATACTTTTGATACTTTTTTTCTTGCCAGTGAAGACCATACCCTTCTCCATGTGGGAATTCTTTGAAGTCTATGAATTTAAGGTTCCATGAGAATATCTACAAAATAGCGAATGATCAGAACACTGCTGTATAGTTCATTCAGAAATATACATATATTTTAAAACCATGTCAATCTGTTCCTAGTCAGCTTTTAATTTCAGTAGAATTTATTGATTGAATTCATAGTATGCCCTGTTTTTATCAACTGAAGATGAAAAATTGGTTAATCTGGACGTGTTGTACATGATCTGTAGTTTGATGCTTTAAAGTTACTGTATGTGTGTTGGTTAGTGAAACCTAGCAGACAAGATGCTCAATATGTTAAGATTCAAACTAAAATGTGTGGGGGCTTTCACTTAGTAGCCCATGATTCAGTCTGTAGCTGAGTGAGTGCGTGCGTGAGCGAGCAAGCAAGCAAGTGAATGAGTGAGCGAGCGAGCGAGTGAGTGAGCCAGTGAGCAAGTAACTGAATGAGTCTGCAGCTGCTGCTGCTCACCCTTTGTCCAGGGATTCCTTCTGCACAGTTCACCCTGTGCCAGGGTACAGAGTAGTACTGGGGCTCGCTCTGCGGTGGTCCCGCCCATGCAAGGGGGTCTGGGGTGGCACGGGGCTCAGTGTGGCGCTCTGCATCCTGTTGGTGTCTGCAGTACTAATCCTTCTCAGCATCCTGTAGCCATAGTTTTGAGCACTAAAACCGCATTTTGTTGTGCTGCCGTCGCTTCCTTGCGCTTCTCTTTCTTGCTTGTGCAGTTCACCTTCATTTGGCTTGTTTGCAGTATTGTGTGCTCATCTTGTTTATGCAGCATTTGCCTACATTTTTGTTGATTTTTTTTCCATTCATGTCCTTTCCAAACATTTAATAGTTTTATTTTAACTGTTCTTACTTAACAGCATGAGCCCAGGCTCTATATTATTATCATGTAAGAAATTGGGGTGATGGATAATTTCTCAAATGCAGATTGTGCCATTTAAAAATCAGCTCTAAATTTACTTAACTTGGATTGTCACCAAATCAGAAAAGTCATTCACTAAGTATCTCAAAATTGATGAATGGGGCTGGAATGTGGCTTAGTGGTAGAGTGCTTGCCTCACATGCATGAAGCCCTGGGTTCAATTCCTCAGTACCATATAATAGAAAAAGCCAGAAGTGGCGCTGTGGCTCATGTGGCAGAGTGCTAGCCTTGGGCAAAAAAGCTCAGGGACAGTGCCCAGACCCTGAGTTCAAGCCCTAGGACTGGCCAAAAAAAACAAAAACAAAAACCAAAAAAACAAGATTAATGATTGGTTCCAGTACCAAAATTCAAATCAAAGCTTAGAAGTTAATTTTAACACTCCTTTAGATTTTCATGGATTTGCATATATTGTATTATTTATACAATATTGCTTTTACAGTATATCAATTTTTCTCTATAATTTTTTTATTAATAAATGGCTGGAAAGTCTCTGACCCTGACTGCATTTCTGTTAAGTGTTTGTCTAGAATGTGGATTTGGTTTCATTTGTATTGTAACACAATTAACTGAGTGATTATCATGATAAAAATAACAGGAAAAAATTAAAACCAGTTCTGAGTACTCAGCATTATCACATTTAAAGATCTGGCTTAATACTGAAATAGCATCTCTGAATTGCTGTGAAGCATAAATTTCCATTCTGAAAAATAAAGCTATTGCAGTTTAAATTGCTTTTTAAAGGCTTTTTGTCAGACTGTTTCGTTCAAAGTTAAAATTTCCTTCTCAAACACTGGCGTTATATTTGACTTTATAACAAAATTGAGATTCCTAAATTTAGGCTCTATGCAATCGTAGTATTAACAACTCCTTGAGAACATTCGCATCTTGGAGTTGGACCAAGCCTGTCATTGTTAGTGATGATGACCGAATGCTAATCGATGCTTTGCCTTGGCTTTCTGCTCTGTGTTGTCTGGTGTGTGCGTCTTACCTCTGTGTCTGTGCTATTTGTTCCCCTCCCTGTTCTCTAATCCTCCCCTTCCCTACCTGCTTCCTGTTCCTTTCATTGTCCTCACTGACCCATCAATCAACCAACAACGCCCCCCCTTCGTCGTGGTGCTCTGCCCTGCTCTGATTGGTGGCTTCGTTGCTTGGGTGGCTGTGTGTTATGATGGACCAGTTCACCCAAGTATGGCCTTCTTGCTGACAGGTATCATTTCTGTGAGAAGTGTTTCACAGAGATCCAGGGCGAGAATGTGACCCTGGGTGACGACCCTTCACAACCACAGACGTAAGTACCATCTTGTCGTATTTCCCTCTTGTCCATGACTAAAGGGTAAACCAATAGAGCACTGTGACTTTCATGTAGTGTTTTTTACATTAACTATCAGCACATTTAATATAAATGTGGGGTATGTGTATAGACATCCTCAAAGATAGAGGTGCCTTAGCCAAACAGCCCTGCCACCTCTGCATTCTTCCCCATTCAACCTCCACTCTATTCAGTGCTCTGTCTCCACATTTCCTGTCTTTTTAAAAAATTGCATTTTAACTATTCACTGTAGTCGCTTAGCTACTTGGTAGGCTAATATTGGGAAGATAGTGGTCTTAGACCAGCCTGGGCAAAAGGAAAAAAGTTTACAAGGCCTCATTGCTCTCAACCATCAAAAAATTGGGAAGAGTGGGCTGGGAAGGTGGCTCAGTGGTAGAGCGCTTGCCTTGCATGCATGAGGCCCTGGGTTCGATTCCTCAGCACCACATGAGCAGAAAAAAAAAGTCAGAAGTGGCGCTGTGGCTCAAGTGATAAAGCACTAGCCTTGAGCAGAAGAGCTGAGGGACAGTGCCCAGACCCAGAGTTTAGTCCCCACGACCGGACCCCAAAAAAAAAAATTGGGAAGATTAACACAGGTCACTCCATTGGAGAATTGGAAATTATAAATAGAAAAGTCTTGGTTCAGTCTGGTCTGAGCATAAATGCAACACCTTGTTCCCAAAGTGCTTACCTTGCAGGTACAGTGTCCTGGGTTTGATCCCCAGTATGAAAAAAGAAAAAGACATATATATAAATAAATAAAATAGTGAAGGGGATGGGATATAGCTCAATTGCTAGGGAACCTGTCTAGCAAGCACATGGTCCAGGCTTCAAACGACCAGCACCGTCAACCAGAAGAGATTAGTGCGAGGGAAGGAGTGACATTGTCCAAAAAGAAATGGACTCTGTGTGACTTACATAACTGTAACTCCTTTGTACAGCACCTTTATGTTAACAATGAAAACAAATGTTTAAAGAAAAGAAAAAGATTTCTTTCGCCTTCCATCTCAGGAAGGTGAGGCAAGAGGACGGTGAGTTTCAGGGGAGCCTGCGCTGCCGCATGTGAGCCCATCACACAGTGCTTTCTCACACAGCAGAAAACCGAAACTTTTCCCTTCACACCTGACAACTACTCAGAAATGGCAGTAGTTAAAAATGAGTTTTGTATTCATACCCTATCCTTTATTTTGGAGTTTTTCTCCACTGTAAACCTCCATCCCTTTAAGTGGCTAAGCTAATGCAGGGTAGTATGATTCCAGGATTCACTGTCCCTGTTTTCTGACCTAAAGTACAAATATTTGGACTGTTGCTTACTTGAATCAAGGTAGGAGAGGCATGGATTTAATTCATCCTGCACTGAGTTAACCTTTTCTCCCCAATGCTTAGCCTCTTACAGTTAGTTACCTGTGACAGTAGAATCCCAGAGAACATAGCAAGAAATAGGAAAACCACAAATGGTTGACTCATCTATATGTTTAAAAACCCAAGAAGCCCACCGGCCCACATCTGCCTCAGCCTTCCGGGGTTTTGTGGGTCTCTCTTTTCTCCAGACTGTTTTCTCCAGTCTCCATTGCTTCTGGCCACAAGTTGCTGTGCCCCAAAGGCAGGAAGACTCCGGCCCAGAGGTGTCAGCATTATGCGCACTTCTGCTATCATTCAGTTGCCATTATTCATACCACAGACTAAAGTTCTGCTTGTTCCATTTATTTTTAGTTCTCTTGTTATCTCTATTCCTTGGTTTAATAATACGATAAAAGTCAGGTACTGGTGGCTCACACCTGTAACTCTAGGTATTCAGGAGGCTGAGATTTGAGGATCATGGTTCAAAGCCAACCCAGGCTGGAAAGTCTGTGGGACTCTTATTGCCAATAAACTCAAAAAAGCCAAAAATGGCGCTGTGGCTTAAGTGGTAGAGCTCTCACCTTGAGCAAGAGAAGCTCAGGGACAGCACCTAGGCCCAGAGTTCAAGCCCCAGGACTGGCACCCCCCCCCAAAGAAAAAAGTGATTAATAACTAGATTGTACAGGGAAGGAGTGGGGAGTGTTAACCAGTAGGTACTAGGTTATGATTAGACAGGAGCAAAAGTTGTGGTGTGGCTATAGTTATCATTTACATACATTCTTCAAAAGGCCAGAAAAAAATTTCCTTAAAAAAAAAGCCCACATTCTGAAACTTTTTAAAAAAGTTTTCACCCCAAGGAAATGGTGAATGTTTGATGAGATAAAAATACTAACCTGATTTAAGCATGATACAAAATGTACATATACTGAATATGATTTCCCTGCCCCATTAATTTATTAACTTTTAATGTGTTTGTGTATCAGTTAAGATTTTTTAAATTCTGTAATTCTATAAATCAGAAATAATTCGTATGTACACCTGTCATAACAAAAAGACAGTACATAAACCTAAAAGCCCAGCCCTTTCAGCATTTGGACAGTATCCTTAAGTATATGTTGAACCTTGCTATACTGTGAAATATTGTAACTTAATTGTGGTTTTGCCAGTATCTGTCATCAGTCATTATATATAGACTTAAGTGAAAATGAACATGATTGAATCTCAACAAGTTTGCTAGCATAGACTAGTCTTAATTAAAGCTGGTAAAGCTGGTAGCAGTTGGATGTTTTCTAAGAAAGAAAATATGTGGGTAATAAACTAATAGTATATATTGAGTGATAACTGGTAGTGCTTTCTGTAGAATTACACATTCATTGTCATTTACATATATTTTAAATAGATATATTTTAGATTGCAGCTGATCATAATTTATCTAAAGAACTAGTTATAGAATACTCCAACAAGCCAGGCGCTGGTGGCTCACGCCTGTAATCCTAGCTACTCAGGAGGCTGAGATCTGAGGATCGCGGTTCAAAGCCAGCCCGGGCAGGAGAGACCATGAGACTCTTATCTCCAATAAACCACCAGAAAACTGGAAGTGGCGCTGTAGGTCAAGTGGTAGAGTGCTCGCCTTGAGCTGAAGAGCTGAGGGACAGCGCCCAGGCCCAGAGTTCAAGCCCCACGACCGACAAAAAAAAAAAAAAGAATATTCCAACAAGCCATTTATACTCAACAAATAAATTTTAGCTGATTATATTTGCCTTTCTTTTTAATTAAAAAAAGGACAATTTCCAAGGATCAATTTGAAAAGAAGAAAAATGACACCTTAGACCCTGAACCGTGAGTATATATATATTCTTTTAATTTTGGTTTCAGATCAGGAAAGTTACTCCTTATGCGGGGATTGTAGGAGAATTCAGTAACAGTACATTACCCTGAGGGATCTCCTTTGTGAAGTTGTCTTATAGATTGTTTTAAGTTCACATGTAGGTATCTCTGTTCCGTATTGTCCAGTTATTTTAGCAGTGGGAAGCTTACATGGGCGACTTGGTTTCATTGAACCTCTCTAGAACTTCTGGCTTCTCTACAGCTGATGTCCTTTCACGGGGTGTGTCAGAAAGAAAACACTTCCAAAGTTTTAGCTTCTGCAAAGACTAGGGCCTAGTGAAACCCACTGTTTTCTGCTCTGAAAATAGACATCTGTCTGGGGCTGCTGCTTAGTGAGTACAGGCTCCAGCTATAGTGGCTGTCCGGGAAATATGGATTGAGACATTTGAGGTACGCCCAAGGCTTAGAAGGAGGCCCTGCCCGCCCTTGACATCCAGCTTCCTTGCTCTGCAGAGGTCAAGTGCTGTAGAAAAGACTGTATCCCCACAGGCTATATTTGGAAGCCTAGTTTTGTCTTCACTACTGCTGGAGTCCAGGTGCATGATTACGTTAAGCAACTTGTGAAATGTTAGCCCTTATGGAGACGTTCCCAAGCACCCACCTGCACCTTTAATAAACCTGAGGATTAGCCAGGCGCCGGTGGCTCATGCCTGTAATCCTAGCTACTCAGGAGGCTGAGATCTGAGGATCACAGTTCAAAGCCAGCCCGGGCAGGAGAGACCATGAGACTCTTATCTCCAATAAACCACCAGAAAACTGGAAGTGGCGCTGTAGGTCAAGTGGTAGAGTGCTCGCCTTGAGCTGAAGAGCTGAGGGACAGCGCCCAGGCCCAGAGTTCAAGCCCCACGACCGACAAAAAAAACAAAACAAAAAAAACCTGAGGATTGTTCTGGATTTTCCACCTCTTTTTACATTATCTTCTTCCCTTGCATGGCTTGTTAGTGTCTTATGTTCACTTTTCAGTTTCAAATATATTCACATATTGAATGCCAAGCAGTAGAATAAAGAGGTTCCTTTGGTCTGATAGGAGTGACAGATGAATCAGCGCGGACAACAGGAAGCACAGCACGAGTGGTTCTAGAGATGAGGGTCTAGAGATGAAGGTCCCTAGCACAGGCAAGCAGTATCACCACCCGCTTCCTGGAAAAGGTGACACTCCTTTAGAAGCAGTTACTAGGGAGAAAGACAACATTCTAGACACAAAGGAATGAAAGAACACATGATATTCAGTGTTGGGTGTCTTCTCTTCCTTCCACGTGAACCAAGACAGCAGTTGGGTTAAGGAACGTCGTGACTGTAGGCTTGGACAGCGTGTATAGTCCTACTAGACAGTAATTACTAGCAAGAGCTTGGGTCATATGACAGAAGACTTTGAGCCACAATATTTTCTGGTGCCCTAAACCTCCCCAAGATGTTACAGTGGGGGTAAGTCAGTGAGCCAAACGTGTTGAAAGTTTGACTTTTAGTTTCTTGACCTGGTGGGGGTCTCTGGCAGCTCCTGGGGGCATGGAACCCAGTTGTGGGCTGTTGTGCTGTACAGAGCAGTATAGAGAATGGTTCTGTGGGAGTGTATAGGCCCTTTCCTGCTGCACCACTGTATTCAAATATGCCATCCACCTTCTGTGACTTGGATCAGGCATTTGTTTCCTGTGTCTCAGGCCTGATGGGGCTGTCATTACCTGTCAGCTTTATGTCTGTTTCCTAAAAATAATTGAGAGATAAGAGCACGTGGTTATAACACAGAAGGAATTGTTCTGTGTCTCCTGAGTCACTCTGTGTGAAATCACCTAGAGAAAGTATGGGACTTAAGAATGTGTAGTAAGGGGGCTGGGAAGGTGGCTCAGTGGTAGAGCGCTTGCCTTGCATGCTTGAGGCCCTGGGTTCAATTCCTCAGCACCACATAAGAAAAAAGCCGGAAGTGGCACTGTGGCACAAGTGGTAGAGCGCTAGCCTTGAGCTGAAGAGCTGAGGGACAGCGCCCAGGCGCAGAGTTCAGGCCCCACGACCGGACCCAAAAAAAAAGAATGTGTAGTAAGGTCAGAATTCCTGGACTGTGAAATATACCTTCATTATAGTAATTTTTTATTTGCTTTTTTTGGGGCGCCAGTCCGGGTTTGAACTCATGGCCCAGGCACTGCCCTGAACAAGAGTCTTTTAGGGCCAATCTGGCACTGAACCATGATCCTCAGATTTTAGCCTTCTGAGTAGCTAGGATTACAGGCATGTGCCACTAGCACCAGCTATGAGTAAATTGTGTGTGTGTGTATGGCTGTGGCTGTCCTGGAGCTTGAATCTAAGGCCTAGGAGCTGTCCTTTATCTTTTGTGCTCAAGGCTGATGTTCTTCTACTCAAGGCACAGCTCCACTTCCAGCCTTTTTTTTTTTTTTTTTTTGGTCAGTCATGAGGCTTGAACTCTGGGCCTGGGCGATGTCCCTCAGCTCTTCAGCTCAAGGCTAGCGCTCTACCACTTGAGCTGCAGTGCCACTTCCAGTTTTCTGGTGGTTTATTGGAGATAAGAGTCTCACGGCCGGGTGCCAATGGCTCGTACCTGTAATCCTAGCTACTCAGGAGGCTGAGATCTGAGGATCACGGTTCAAAGCCAGCCCAGGCAGGAAAGTCCATGAGACTCTTATCTCCAATAAACCACTAGAAAACCGGAAGTGGCGCTGTGGCTCAAGAGGTAGCGTGCTTGCCTTGAGCTAAAGAGCTGAGGGATAGTGCCCAAGCCCAGAGTTCAAACCCCACAACAGACAAAAAGAGTCTCACAGCCTCTCAGATCTTAGCTTCCTGGGTAGCTAGAATTACAGGACTAAGCCTCTGGTTCCTGGCTGTGAAACTTTAAAAATTGCTATGATAGCAGGGTACAGGTGGCTTATGCCTGTAATACTAGCTACTAAGGAAGCTGAGATCTGGGGATCATAGTTAAAAGCCAGCCTGGGCAGCAAAGTCCATGGGACTCTTATCTCCAGAAAGCCGGAAATGGACCTGTGGTTCAAGTGGTAGACCACCAGCCTTGAGCAAATAGATAAGGCTTAGGGACAACACCAGCCCCTGGAGTGGCACCAAAAGTAAACTTTTGCTACTGGTTGTAAGAGAGATTAGGGGGTGGGAGAGGATTAAGCAATTGTACAAATAAAGAGAACTACTGGCTGTGCTTGGTGGTACATGCGTGTAACCTCAGCACTTGGGAAGCTGTAGCAGTAGGATAACAAGTTCAAGGCCAGCCTGGGCTACATAACAAGACCCTGTCTCCAAAAAAACAGAAAGGAAAATCGATATTTCTTTCTATAGAAAATTGTCTTGACCTCTTTTTGTAGAGAAATAGTAAATGTCAGAGGTAGTCAAGAGTGACCCAGAGCTGGGTGCTGGTGGCTCGAGCCTGTAACCATACCTACTCAGGAGGCTGACATTTGAGGATTGCAATTCAAAGCCATCCCAGGCAGAAAAGTCTCTGAGCCTCTTATCTCCAACTAACCCCCAAAGAAAAAGTGACCCAGAGAATATTCAAGTTCTTGCATAGACTTGCAGCTGTGTGACCCTGTGTAAGACTGCACTTTTTGTCTTCCAGTTTTGTGGATTGTAAGGAGTGTGGTCGGAAGATGCATCAGATTTGTGTTTTACACTATGACATCATTTGGCCTTCAGGGTGAGTAACTTTCCTGGGATCCCAGGGGAAAGGAGAGCTGTTCAGCACAGAACCACAGACAAGGTGTCGATGGTGGCTGTGTCTTGTTCATTGTTGTCAGCAAGAATTCAGCAATTAGGACTGGGAAAGTGGCTCAGTGGTAGAGTGTTTGCCTTGCATGCATGAGGCCGTGGGTTTGATTCCTCAGCACCACACAAGCAGAAAAAAAAAAAGCTGGAAGTGGCACTGTGGCTCTAGTGGTAGAGCACTAGCCTTGAGCTGAAGAGCTGAGGGACAGCGCCCAGGCCCAGTGTACAGGCCCCATGACTGACCAAAAAAAAAAAGAATTCAGCAATTAAGGAAGATGGCAGTTGGTTCTAAATTTAAGTCTTAAGTGTTTGCTTGCTTTAGAAATTGCAGGATCTGGGGCTGGGAAGGTGGCTCAGTGGTAGAGCGCATGCCTTGCATGCCAGAGGCCCTGGGTTCGATTCCTCAGCACCACATAAGCAAAAAGAAAAAAGCGGGAAGTGGCGCTGTGGCTCAAGTGGTAGAGCGCTAGCCTTGAGCTGAAGAGCTGAGGGACAGCGCCCAGGCCCAGTGTACAGGCCCCATGACTGACCAAAAAAAAACAAACAAAGAAAAAAGAAATTACAGGATCAAAGCTGTCTGGCTTTTCACTCTTTTTACAATAATGTAATTTAACTGCCAGTGAAATATTTTAATGTGGCATTGGTGTGGCAGCAGACACTGTGGAGTATATAATCTGATCACACCCATTATTTGTTTTGCAGCTTTGTGTGTGACAACTGCTTGAAGAAAACTGGCAGACCTCGAAAAGAAAACAAATTTAGTGCTAAGAGTAAGTTTATAGAAGCTTTCTGTTTCTTGGACTGTGCATCTTAAAACTTGTATAGATTTTTCTGTCTTCTTTTGGTACTTCTCAACATGTGGTTTGAGCTTAGTTATCAAAGGCTTTCACCTATAAGTTGTTTTCTTTCGTGTTAATCATTTGGATCCTTACATGAAAGCCAGCTTGTATGATCATTCCGTATTTTGAATGAAAGCTTTGAAGGTAAACTGTAAGGAAGTCAAGCCCCACACAGATGAAAGTATTGTGGCTTCAGGACCCCAGGAGGACTGCCATGGATCTGAATTGGAAACCACTTTTATTGTTTATTTTTTTTGCTAGTCCTGGGGCTTGAACTCAGGACCTAGGCACTGTCCCTGAGCTTCTTTTGCTCAAGGTTGAGCCATAGTACCACTTCCAGCTTTTTCTAAGTAGTTTATTAGAGATAAGAGCTACATGAAATTTTTTTTGCCCAGGATGGTTTGGAACCGTTATCTTCAGATCTCAGCCTCCTGTTTAGCTAAGATTACAGATGTAAGCCACCACTGCCAGGCTTGGAAACCACTTCTTAAAGGGAACTTTCTTCAGGGGTTTCAGCACAGAGGTGATGTGTGCCCCAATGAGACCCTGTGCATCCACATCTGTGCTTCTCGAAATGGTTACCTAGCCTGGGACATGTGGGTGTCCATCACCTTATTTTGATACGCTTACACATCATTTTTTTATAGGTTGTTTTTTATATTTTTTCTTTTTAAATCTCCTTTATTAATGGAATACGTACCCCCAGGAAAGCACCATGATTAGTATGTTTCTTACAGAAAAATGAAATTTAGACTTGTTTAAAGGAATTAGGAGTCTTCTAAAATCCCAAATAAATTTACCTTTTTTTTCCCCCCCTCCAGTCATGGGGCTTGAACTCAGGGCCTGGGCACTGTCCCTGAGCTTCTTTTCCTCAAGGATGGCACTCTACCACTTGAGCCACAGTGCCACTTCTGGCTTTTTCTGTTTATGTGTGGTTGAGGAATCGAACCCAGGGCTTCATGCATGCTAGGCAAGCACTCTTCCATTAAGCCACATTCCCAGCCAAATTTACTTCTTATATTTCTCATTAAGGTAGAAAAAAATTTAAAGTGAATAAAGAAGAAAACTACTTTTAAAGTCTATTCAAAATTTCATTACTGTGTTTGAGGCCATTAAAAAATTCCATCTCGGGCTGGGAAGGTGGCTCAGTGGTAGAGCACTTGTCTTGCATGCATGAGGCCCTGGGTTTGATTCCTCAGCACCACATAAGCAGAAAAAGCTAGAAGTAGTGCTGTGGTTCAAGTGGTAGTGCGCTAGCCTTGAGCTGAAAAGCTAAAGGACAGCGCCCTGGCTCAGAATTCAAGCCCCATGACCAGCCAAAAAAAATTCCATCTCACTCCAAGCACTGATGCCTTACATATGTAATCTAAGTTACTTAGGAGGCTGAGATCCAGGGAATGGTTCCAGGATAACCTGGGCAGAAAAGTTCAAGAGATCCCTTCAAACCTTTTGCTGGTTTCAGTAGTGCTTATCTTGTCATCTCAAACCTATGTGAGTTGGGATTGGGAGGATCGATGTTCTAGGCTGTCCTGGGCAGAAAAGCATGTGAGACTTCTTCCCACAGCCAGAGAATCTGTACATCATGACACATGACATCAGTCTAAGAAATGACGGAAAGCCTAAAATAGGCAAATGCTGACTCAGATATGCACACTGAAGTGGGAAGTGAGACCCTATCTCAAAAATAAACAGCAGAGGGCTGGGAAGGTGGCTCAGTGGTAGAGCGCATGCCTTGCATGCCAGAGGCCCTGGGTTCGATTCCTCAGCACCACATAAGCAAAAAGAAAAAAAGCCGGAAGTGGCGCTGTGGCTCAAGTGGTAGAGCGCTAGCCTTGAGCTGAAGAGCTGAGGGACAGCGCCCAGGCCCAGAGTTCAGGCCCCATGACTGGACCAAAAAAAATAAATAAACAGCAAAAACAGGATTTGAGGCATGGCTCAAATGGTAGAGCCACAGTCTAGCAAACATGTGACAGAGTTCAAACCCTATCTCTCTCTCTCATATACACATACACATCTCCCCCCCCCCAAAAAAAAATCCATCTAGTCTTTCCCTTGTATAGGAGTTCTCTGTACTGAGGCTAACTTTTTTTTTTGGGGGGGGGTGTTTTGTTGTTCGTGGGGCTCAAACTCTGGGCCTGGGTTCTGACCTGGTAGTTAATTGGAGATGAGAGTCTCATGGGCTTTCCTGCCCTGGCTGGCTTTGAACTGCGATCCTCAGATCTCAGCCTCCTGAGTAGCTAGGATGACAGGCGTGAGCCACCTGCACCAGGCTGTGACTAACGTGTTAACCCTCTGTTAACACTTGTCATGGTTACCTAGGGCTGTCCCTAGATAGGTAGGAAGAGTTGAGCAGCCAGCCCAGGACAAGCCATCTGAAACTGGCTGAGACTGATCCTTAGTCTTTTTGGCCTCTCTCCAGGTGACTGGTGTGCTCATAAAGCCACAAGTAGCGGGGCTCACGCCTGCCATCCTAGCTACTCAGGAGGCTGAGATCTGAGGATAGTAGCTCAAAGCCAGCCAGGGCAGGAAAGGCTGTGAGACTCTTATCTCCAATAAACTACTCAGAAAACCGGAAGTGGCTCTGCGGCTCAAGTGATAGAGCACATGCCCTGAGCTGAAGAGCTGAGGGGCATCACCCAGGCCCAGAGTTCAAGCCCCATGACCAAAAAACCAAAAACAAAACAAAAGCCACAAGTAGTTTTTAAGCTGGTGCTTGATTTGTTGGCCCTGGAATGTTCTTTGCTGTTTTAGGCTAGTCAGTGCTAGGAGGTGACTCTGTTGTGAATTGCACTTAAGCTGTCTCCCAAAGGGTGTACCATGACCTGTTACTGTTACAGCTTCTAAAGTAAAGTTCTGTAATGGGAAGCCAGTGACATTTGTGGGAGACAGTTGGGAAACTGGCCTGCCCCATAGAGGCTTTTACTTAGCCAAGCAGAGCTAGAACAAGTGTTTTGTTTTTTTTCCCCAGTGGTGGGGCTTGAACTCTGGGCCTGGGTGGTGCTGAAGAATCAAACCCAAGGCCTCATGCATGCGAAGCAAGCATTCTACCACTGAGCCACCTTCCCAGCCCTATAGAACAAAGAAGACTTCTTCTTTTAAAGGCTGCTTCCCAGCCTGCCAGGTCCTGGGGTCAAAAGCAAAAGGCAGGGAGGAGGAGGGCACAGCCTGCTTTCCTCTGGCCTAGTCTTACAAGATTGTCAGATCTGGGAAAAACACAGGAAGGGAACTAGAGGCATGGGTCAGGTGGTAGAGTGAGTGCCAGCCATGAGCACAAGGCCCTGAGTTCAAGCCTCAAGACCACACACACAACAAAATAAAAAATAAGAAGAAAGGTAAATCTGGGCAGACATTTTGTTCTCAGAGGCAAAGTGTCCAGGATCCCATAGTCCACTTTCTTTCATAAATAGCTCTTGAAAAAGGCACTGTGCCAGCATCCCTTTCTAAGCCTTCTCCCTAACTTCCGGACTTCCTAGGACTACAGACCACGCGATTAGGAAACCACTTGGAAGACCGAGTGAACAAGTTTTTGCGACGTCAGAATCATCCTGAAGCTGGAGAAGTTTTTGTCAGAGTAGTCGCCAGCTCAGACAAGACTGTGGAGGTCAAGCCTGGGATGAAGTCACGGTTTGTGTGCTCTCTTCCTAGAATGCAGGGGGAACAATCCCCCGTACCCATCCCTGCAGGGCTAAGTAGGCTTCATGGCAGTTAGCACATGCAGCCAGCCTGAATGTATGATTCCCAGGTCTGAGAATAAGGAAGAACTGGAGCACAGCTCTGAGTCTGCACTCTGGTCATCATCCCGAGAGGTGACTGAGCTGTAGTTATTCTATACCTTTAAACAATGACATTTCAACCCTTTCTCTGCATTTCATTTCAGGTTTGTGGATTCAGGGGAAATGTCGGAATCTTTCCCATATCGAACCAAAGCACTTTTTGCTTTTGAGGAAATTGATGGAGTGGATGTGTGCTTTTTTGGAATGCACGTGCAGGAATATGGCTCTGATTGTCCCCCACCAAATACAAGGTAGTAGTCTATCACTCTTCTGAGTGCATGTCATTCAGTTTCTTGGGAATGAACAGACCAAAGCTTAGGAATTTTAGAGGAACTGTATACTTCATTCTTCATTCCTAGATTAAAGTAAGCCACAATTAACTAACCAAACCAACTTAACTTTGTTTACCATTGACTGAATGGGAAATGAAGGGTCTTTTTTTTTTTTTTTTTGTCAGTTGTGGGGCTTGAACTCTGAGCTTGAGCCCTGTCCCTCAGCTCTTCAGCTCAACGAGAGCACTCTACCACTTGAGCCACAGCACCACTTGTAGTTTTCTGGTGGTAAATTGGAGATAAGAGTTCACAGAAGTTCATTGCCCGGGCTGGCTTTGAACTGCAATCCTCAGATCTCAGCCTCCTGAGTTGCTAGGATTACAGGTGTAAGCCACCAGCACCCAGCTTAGATGAAGGGTCTTGATGACACATTTCTGCTCTGAGTATATGTGGCTTTTTAGTCTTGCTTTGTGTTATCAAAGCAGATTACTATAGGGAACAGACATGGGGGTGGGACAGCTGGATGTACTTGTTCAAGTAATATTTCTACCCTGTTCAGGTTCCATCCAAAATAGAGGTGAAAGGTTCCTGGAAGTGACCTTTCTCCCATTTTCCCTGAGCCTTCCTTTGGCTATCTTAGGAGTGTGTTGGGCCATTCTGTGGCCAACAAAATGATTGCTGTTAACTTGGTTGGTGGATGGGACTGTGATTGGGGTTTTATCACTTCCTGTTGGGTGGCCACTGTAACCATTATCAAAACTTATTTCTGGTGGCTGTTTGGATGCTGGTATTTGGTTTCAAGTTTGAAAGATACTGTGTATTAAAAGTGATACCTCCACCCCACCTACAGGCGTGTGTACATATCTTATCTGGACAGTATTCATTTCTTCCGGCCACGTTGCCTCCGGACAGCCGTTTACCATGAGATCCTTATTGGATACCTGGAATATGTGAAGAAATTGGGGTAAGTTATACTATCTTTTTCTCTGTTTATTTTATGGAATAAGGGGTGGTGTGTGTGTATCTGTGTGTCTGTGTGTGTCTGTGTGTGTCTGTGTGTCTGTGTGTGTGTGTGTGTGTGTGTGTGTGTGTGTGTGGTAGTCTTTTCACTTAAAGGATTTTGTTGGGTTTGGTTTTGGTTTTAAGTTAGTTGGTTGGTTTTGGTTTCAGTTTTGGTTTTGGTTTTTGCCAGTACTAGGGCTTGAACTCAGAGCCTGGACACTGTCCCCTAACACTCTATCACTTGAGCCACAGTGCTACTTCCAGCTTTTTTTGTTTATGTGATACTGAGAAATCAAACCCTGGGCTTCATGCATGCTAGGCAAACACTCTACCACTAAGCCACATTCCCAGCCCTTCATTTGAAGTTTTATGTATTTTTATTTCTAACATAAAGATCAGACATTCCCTGAGAGACCCTCTCCAAATACAGACCAACTTATGCCCAGTCCTGGGAAGATACAGTATAAGCTGCAAATGAGTTGCATTCCTTTCTCAAACATGAAAATGTGTTATATTTGATCAAAGTGTCTTGAACAGAGTGAATGAGATTTCTTGTTAACCCTCAAAAGAGAGATAGTCATCGGAACTGTTTTTCCAGTGTACAGGAGGAAATCAGGAAGAAGTTCAGCACTTCACTTAGACAGCACTTCCTTGTGTTGCCCTAATGAGCCGGTGGGTTAGCTCACAGGCTCTTTGATGAGGTCAGGGGTCATCTCTGATGTCAACCCCAACCTGTGTGCACTTTTTTTTTTTTGTCAGTTGTGGGGCTTGAACTCTGGGCTTGGGCACTGTCCCTGTGCTCTTCAGCTCAAGGCAAATGTTCTACCACTTGAGCCACAGTGCCACTTCAGTTTTCTAGTGGTTTATTAGAGATAAGAGTCTCACAGACTTTCCTGCCTGGGCTGGCTTTGAACCGTGATCTTCAGATCTCAGACTCCTAAGTAGCTAGGATTACAGGCCTGAGCCACCAGTGCCCGGCTAATTTTTCCTTTTTTCAGTCATGGGGCCTGAACTCTGAGCCTGGGCACTGTCCCTCAGCTCTTCAGCTCAAGACTCCCTACCACTTGAGCCACAGCACCATTTCAGCTTTTTTCTGTTTATGTGGTGCTGAGGAATCAAACCCAAGGCCTCGTGCATACAAGGCAAGCACTCTACCACTGAGCCAACTTCCCAGTTGTGTGTGCACTTTTGCGAGCAAAATACTTCAGCTAGTTGCCAGGGTTAAAGTTAAAAGCAATAAAAGATTATGTTGAGCTGAGCGTCAGTGGCTCACACCTGTAATCCTACCTACTCAGGAGGCTGAGATCTGAGAATCACGGTTCAATGCCAGCCCGGGCAGGCAAGTCTGTGAGATTGTGATCTCCAATAAAACCCACCAGAAACCCGGAAGTGGTGCTGTGGCTCAAGTGGTAGAGTGCTCACCTTGAGCTGAAGAGCTGAGGGACAGCGCCCAGGCCCTGAGTTCAAGCCCCAGGCCCCCCCCCCACACACACACACACACTCTACTGGTTTGAAACCCTTGTTTTCTTTTTTCCTCATATTTCTGTCCTGTGTTTGGGTCCTGTTCTTCAGCTGTAATTCCTTGAAAGTAAAGCACAATTCACTGATACTTCTGACTTGTCCTGTAGGTATGTAACAGGGCACATATGGGCCTGTCCCCCAAGTGAAGGAGACGACTACATCTTCCACTGTCACCCCCCTGATCAAAAAATCCCAAAACCAAAACGACTACAGGAGTGGTACAAGAAGATGCTGGACAAAGCATTTGCAGAGCGGATCATTCATGACTACAAGGTACTCCATACTAAAGGAGCATGGCTTTTTGCAGCTAAGTAGACATCTGTGTGTTTTTCTCTTGCTGTCACATGCTTTATAATTAGATTCATCTACAGGGATTAGAAATCAAAAACCGCTGGGCTGGTGGCTCACACCTGTAATCCTAGCTACTCAAAAGGCTGAGATCTGAGGACCACATTTTGAAGCCAGCCTTAGCAGAAAAGTCTGTGAGACTCAAAAAGCTGAAAGTGGCTTAAGTTTAGGCAGAAGCCTAAACCTAGAGTGAAAATGGAAGGGTTGGGGATTTAGTACTTGTGCAGACAGTACAAGGCCCTAAGTTTGGTCTTAAGCTCTGCAGAAAAAAGAAAATCGAGAAGCATTTATGCCATCGATTGGAGCAGCACCATCAGTGCGTGCACTAGAGCTGGTGGCCCGTGGGTAAGATCTCCAGGAACCTGTGGATACTTATCTCACCTCGGTGCTTTGCTTTCTCCCAGGACATACTCAAGCAGGCAAATGAAGACAGGCTTACAAGTGCCAAGGAACTGCCATATTTTGAAGGAGATTTCTGGCCCAATGTGTTGGAAGAGAGCATCAAGGAGCTAGAACAAGAAGAAGAAGAGAGGAAAAAAGAGGAGAGCACTGCAGCTAGCGAGACCCCTGAGGTGCAAGCTCCCCCCAAGTCTCCCTACTGCTTCTTCCTAGCACTGTGGGGGCAGCCCCGGCCATGCAGGGGTGGCAGACTGGGAAGAGAGTGCAAGTCACTAGGTTCTTTCTCCGCATAGTCAGGTTGTCACAGCAGAAAGTGGGCCTGGGGGCTTGGTTAAGGGCATTTCCCCTGGACAGTGTGGGGGAAAGGGAAGGAAAGCCAGGGGAAGGGATCCTATCTGGGCACAGAGGTAGGCACAAGTTATTTATGCAGGAGGCCCTCTGTTGCCATGCTTTATTCTTGGCTTTTGTGGCAGCTCCTTCTCTTTTTTTTTTTTTTTTTTTGCTGTTGTTGTTGTTGGTCGTGGGGCCTGAACTCTGGGCCTGGGCGCTGTCCCTCAGCTCTTCAGCT